TCCAGAGGAGCTGGTGAGATTTTGGGCGTTATGTTTTATGATCCTTTAATGACGTCCCATGGAATCATTAAACACTGACTCTCCCGACTCCAGATGATTAAAAGAATAAGAATAATCCACTGAGCTGGTGATTAATGCCCTTATCACAAAGCTCTGGTGACTGATTCTGCGAATACTTTGCACACTGTGTCATAAATTTGAACACTTTTGCACATTAGCCAGTGCAGAAGTAATTTGCCTAGCTGGAATTGTAATGAGTAATGCTGAATCCCAAAATGGGTAGCATATTGGAAATATGATTTATTTTCAATATATGTGTATTTCAATCTGGTAACCATTTAAATAGTCTGTTTTCCCTGTGTTTGGAAACAGATTTACTTTAATTGACTGGTTTGTTTTGAATGGAAGTGTGTTATTTTCTCCCTTTGTTCATGATGGACTCTACAGTATATGTAATCCTCTTTGTGCAGCATAATCCTTTAAAGATTGGAGGGGGGATCTGCCAATTACTTGCATCTTTTAAAGGGTGTAGTGTTGATATTAGTGGAGTAGTATAATCATTAGTGGGTAAAAAATGAACGCTGCATTGTGTACACCTTGTAGTGTACACTGCGTAATGAACACTACATAGTGCACACTTCGTAGTGTACAGTATATAATGAATACTGCATAGTGTACACCTTGTAGTGTACACTGCGTAATGAACACTACATAGTGCACACTTCGTAGTGTACACTGCATAATGAACGCTGCATAGTGTACACCTTGTATTGTACACTGTGTAATGAACACTACATAGTGCACACTTTGTAGTGTACAGTATATAATGAATACTGCATAGTGTACACCTTGTACTGTACACTGCGTAATGAACACTACATAGTGCACACTTTGTAGTGTACACTGCATGATGAATGCTGTATAGTGTACACCTTGCAGTGTAAACTGCATAATGAACGCTGCATAGTGCACACTTGTTAGTGCAGGCTTTGTACACATTTCATACTGCACACCGAATTGTGCATGCTGCATGGTGTATGTTTTTTTCATCAGTCACCTCAGGCTGAACTCCCAAAATGAGCCAGCAGGGTGCCAGCAGACAAGCAAGAGCCAGACGAGGGTCTCAGTTTTCACTGTTTTCTCAGAGGAGGACAGAGAGGTTAATGGAAGGAGGAAGAGAGAGAATAAGAGTGAGAGCTTAATGTACAGGGAGAGCAAGATCACACAGAGCTTGTTTGGAGGATTCTGCCCATGGAAGCTGCACCTGTGGCATGTTCCCCTCCTGCCCTATTATGATGTCAGTGCCCCGTGCTTATCTCCATGCTTTATTTTGGCATTGAGCTCTGAAGCCGTGGTTGGTATTATTTCCCTGTGGTCTACAAAGCATGTGTGTTGCTCCTAACTGTAACCACACAATGTATAATTTAACACATCCATCCATCCATTAATTCCTCTTTGTAGTCATTTTTTTTCCTCCAATCAGTGCTGCGAGTCAGCCAGGCCCTATGGCAGAAACCTAGCTGAGATGCATATGATGTCACTCAGCAAGGATTGGACTGTTCTGCAGTGTAATGGCCTGTGTGATACCATGTGAAGTTTGTAGCATGTGTTTGATCTGTATGACTGGGTGCTTTTCTGAACCTTCTTTGTCGTCCTACTGGCTTCAGTAACAGGTGGGCACCTCCTGAATTTTTAACCTTTGAATTTTTTAACTACACAGACAACCCTCTGTCTCTGTATCAGCCTGAAAGTACATCCTGAGTGAAGACGGCGCTGCGCGTGGTGGCCCCCTTGGCGCGTGGCGGCCCCCTTGGCGCGTCCGTGGCCCCCTCCTCCCCGCATGCTGAACCTCGGGGTGTCAGGTGGCTGAGCCAGGATCCCTGCTGGCTTGCCGTCTGTCTCTGCCTGTTTGGCTCCTTCTGATGCTGACCCTGCGAGCAGGGTCATCAGCACTGCTAGGCCCTGATACTGTTATATCTGGGCAATAGTGCTTTGTCTCCAAGCAGCTAGGGATTGTGGGTAAAAAATCAAAAGCAGTCTTGGTGACCATTTAAAAATGTCACCACCCCAGTTAAACAGTATCACTTCATTCTTTGATAAGTGGTTATATGCTATGAATTATCACTATATAGCATAAAAATCATAACTGCTGAATATCACACGAGACCTGCATAATCTGCATTGTCTTTAATTGTAATTAATCTTCTCTTTTATCTTCACTGTTGGTCACATCCACAGTAATGTACCTGCTTTGCCTGCAAGATAGTGATGGGTCAACTACAAGTACCCATTAAAAGTTAATGCTTGTTTTATATGTATAATTTACTTAACTCATTAAACATTTACGGTGACCAAACCATGAGAAAGAGCCCTGTGCTGCAGCAGGATAATGAAATGTGAAAGCTGTGGATGGGTGTGCATCTTGTACTGTAGGCCAATTACAGGTATTACTGCACATTGTACTGCTGCAGGCTATGATCTTAGTGTTGCAAGCATATTTCAGTGTTGTTATTTTTTTCCTCCTGCTCGCCGGTGCAATTTCTCCATTTCTCATGCAACAAACCATGACATCAGAAAGACTCGTTTTAAAACTTTCACTGCCAGTGTTGCTGATGGGCTTCTCATATACCTCCAGTATACCTCCTCCTCCTCCTCACTTCAGGACATTTTTTTAAGAGTTGCGCTGTAATATGAAGCACTTTGGTACTGCCTGTGCACAAACCTTATGATCTTAGGTGATCAGGTTGCACGCCTGTGGGAAAAATATTACACTGGATTGATGGAGGAAACACACAAGCAATTAAGCCCCAAGTATCTGTTGAATATTTTAGTATGTCTATGATATAGAAAGCTATTACAACTGTATTTCTCAGTGATGCTGATATATTCTCTGTGTGCCTGTGTGTTTTCAGAATATAACGGGGGTACCTTTTTGCCTTTATTAATCTTGTTAAACAATAGGCACTTTTGACTGTTGGTGTTGCTAGGACAAGCATTCTGTGTTTTTAATATGCTCTCATGCTCAGGGACAGGGGGGCAGGAAGAAATTCTGGGGCCCGTGACAAAATACCACCTTGGGCCCCTCCCCGGTACATTCTGCCAACCCCGGGGGTACCCCTTGATAGATTTCCTTGCAATTACACAACAGAAGTAAAGATCAGTAAACTATTTCTCCATCATAAATGTAGACATATGTACTGTATAATTCAGTCCAGGCCCCTTCTCCCTCCCTCCCCCCCCTTATGATGGGGCTGCTCAGGGCAGTAATGTTGGTTCCAGCACATAGCTGATGTCAGTGACAGTAGTGTGTTATAAAAGAATGCGAAGGAACCGGAAGCCACGGGACCCCACACCGCCCACAGACCAGGACCGACCCTGACACAGGTGCCGGGAGGCTGAATGTGGGGGTCGAGACTCGTCAGTTTACAGAGACAGCGATATCTGAGGGGGCTGGACATTGAGTCTGGGCTTCTGTTTGGAATGGCTGACTATGACCGAAAACATGCAGGCAGGAATGTGCTTTTCACTCTCAGGCGAAGAATCGTAGGTGTTTAAAGAGCAGACCTGTCCATAAAGGGAAATGGTGATTATGTGCTTGGCTTTCCTGTGCCTGGTCCTATTACGGATTAAACCTCGGATCATCTACAGACTCTAATTGTAGATAAAGTCCATATCTCTGCAGCCCCAGCCGGAAACCATTTTTCTTGTTTATGAAATGACCCAACTTTCCTTAGGTATAAGATGACCCCCTTATACCAGTCTTTCCATTGGTTCGTCTTCCCCTTCCTCGTTCCTGTCGGCCCAGTCATTCAGCAGTCCTGCTGGATTGCCATTGTTCCAGGTGGCCATGGGGCATCGGCTGCCGAATTGAGTGTCAGGATCTCGGATCCTCCTCATCCTTGCGTGTTTCACATGGGGAGTGACGTCCAATCAGATCTCTGTACTTGTGAACAAGCTGAGATGCAATCAAGCTTGAATATGTCAAACGTCTTCACTAGCCATAGACATCCACATACAGAGGCTTTTATTGGTTGGGTGTCAAAAGTAATCAAACACTATTGCAACGATTGACGATGAAAGTAAAACCTGGAGAACATAGAACTTTTAAATGGATAGGCACTTGATTAATTGGTCCCTAGAATCAGTGATTGAACAGGACAGGCTTTGAAACTCTGCTATGCATATAACTGGTGCTAAATGCGTGCGCTTTCTGCCCCAGTGGAGCCGGATCTCTGTGTCACACAGCCCCCTGGGGCTGGTGGCCTTAGCAGCAGAAGAGTTTTTCTAAGCTGATGAAGCAGATCAACCCTGCCACTGCACAGGTGGTTTCAGGGAAAGTGTGGCAGAAGCCCCCCACCACCACCACCTTATTCAGTGACACTGCTAAGCTTCCAAGATTAGTCATGGGATAAATCTTGAGTAGATAATAGCCAGTCAAACGCGTGATTATGGAGCATGGGCAGCAATAACGGTGTTGGTAAAAATAGCATTTGCAAAGGGCTGATTTCTCATTTGCAATCATCCGCATACATTTTTAGCCTGGGCGACTATTAGTAAAGCTTCCAGCTCCTCACGCTGCCGAGATGAAGTCTTGTGGAGGATGGCAGAGACCCCAGTCGCCATCGTCTCGAACGGACCCGCCCTCTCTCTGCATATTTAAATCCAATTACTGCAGCTGTCTTGCTTGTGAGCGTGACTCATTCCATGAGGTTGCCGAGGATGGATTTCGGAAAACACTGCTGAGGAATCTGGCCAGGCTATTTGGCCAGCTGGTCCGCCTGCTGACTTTGTCTCGAGTGATCATATACTGTAACTTGTCTTCAATGTGCTCCACTCATTATCTCTGAGGAGCAAGAGGCCTTTTTAAAATATAATTTGTTAATAAATCACCTTGAGATGTCACATTGAAGCATGCAACTATATAAGAACGATGGACTACTAAATCGCTTTGTTTTATATCTACATATATTCTTATACTTTTGGATATCTCTTCCATGCAGGACCCAAGAAGCAAGCACAAGTTTAAGATCCACACATATGGAAGCCCAACTTTCTGTGACCACTGTGGGTCGCTCCTGTATGGCCTCATCCACCAGGGGATGAAGTGTGACAGTAAGTGTGCGCTGTCCGAGGGACATTCTTTAGGAAAAGCTGTCTGCAAGCTTCAACATGAATCCTTAAATAAAACTTCAGACATTCCACACTAAACAAAAGTATTATTTTTAAAAGAGACCAGGCAGCTCATGTTTCAAATATAAAATACAGATACTTTTTGCATACCCCATCGCGCTCTCGCACAGACGCACAGGCAAGTTAAAGCAAGCTTGGGTGTCACAGTGCCCAGTGGCCAGTGACCCTCCGATGACAGGCACAGAGGCTCAGCCCACTGAGCGACACACTGCGCCCCCCCCCCCCCGCCGATTTACTGCCACCGGCCACCATTTTAAAGCTTTACTGCAGCTGATAAACTCTAAAAAAATTATTGACATCATTTTGTTAGTATTCATTCAAAAGAATTAGGGAAAGAGAGCTGTTATGACCCCTTTTGAACAAGTAGTCTAGAGGGAAAAGGGGGCAGACATAAAAGATAAGGGAACTCAAAGTCCTGTCCAGGAAGAAGACCAATACAGAGCAGAGGCCAATCACCAGCCAATAGCAGAGGCCAATCACCGGCCAATAGCAGTGGGCATTTGTTTGGTGACTATGGTTTGGAACTTTGTGTCCCCTATGTCTGGTTTAGGTTTCTTTTTTCTTTCTTTTAGGTTTTTTTTTTTTTTAATCTAAGCTGGAACCAGTTTACTGAGCCAAGCAGAACCATACTCTCCTAGTTAACATGTTCCTCTCCAAAAAAAACATATGTGGCTCCACATTGTTGTTCAAAATAAGCAGCAAGTGATGATGCTCATCATGTGACCTTAACGTTAAACCGTTTACAAACCGTTCAGTTTACAAGTGAAGATTCTGTATTAGTACTCAGTACATTCATCTTCAAGAATTATAAACATTATACCAAACGGTATGGCAAAGTACTGACATCGTTTCCTACAATACATACTTAAAAAATTCAAAATAAGGGCACAGATAAATTTGTTTATATTTGAAATATACACATTGAAATGATTTGATAGGAATTTCTGATTCCTAATCTTGATCACTGATAAGAAAAGAAATTACATTAATTAACTTGTTAAAACAGCTTTGACTCTCCACCAGAGCAGCCATTAAAAACTAATTATGGCCGCCGGGCCCGTTTAAAAGAAAATTATGTTGTGTATGTCAAATCACCATGGCAGAGGATGCAACTACATTCACATGTTTTGTTGTTTTTTTTTCTTCTTTTTTCAGCATGTTGGTTATATAGAGCAGTAAACAAATGAAAATGACAGTCAGAAATTCAACAGTCAGAAATTCATCAGTCAGACAGTCAGCTCTTTGGCAGATGGGCTGCCATCAAATAAGGCTGCTTAATTTTAGACTTAACCCTAATTTTCTGGTACATTTTCTGTGTGCAAGTGCTTCTAGACACGTCTACCACTTTCCCAGCTTCTCTTTTCCATCTATTTCTTCTTTTCCTGCTGGTCTTGTTACTATGAGCGTGTCTGTGTATTTGGGTTGTTCTCTCTGTAAATGATTGGAGAATAAGGATGTATTTGAGGTTCTTTAAGGAGATCAGAGGAAGGCAGAATCCATCCCCCCCCATAAGATCAGCCTTGTCAACAGTCACTTGCACGAGAGATCAAACTGACCAATGAATCTTAACTAGGGTCGTTAGCCCTCCCCCCCACCACCACCAATCTGCTAACACCTGCTGGCGATGTTCCCCTCTACAGCGTGCGACATGAACGTGCACAAGCAGTGCGTGATGAACGTGCCGAGCCTGTGCGGCACCGACCACACGGAGCGCCGTGGCCGGCTCTTCCTCAAGATCGAGGTCAGCGGGGACAAGCTGCACGTAACAGGTGGGCAGGGGGGGGGGGCAGAGCGCCTATCCCAAGCGGGTCTGTCATGCTGCTGGACTGGTGCATCTGTAAGCACTGGGCTAGGGGGTCATTCTGGGTTCACACAAGAAGCTGCAAACACCAATCAGGGGAAATTACATTGATTACACAAGATGAAACTGAAAGGGTTTCTGAAATGCATTCTGACCGGTTTTATTTGGATTTAGCCCCCAGTTCTGACTAAAGGGCAGTGCTGGAAATTTCCAGTCTGTACCCTGAACACCTGAACAGGCATGTCCTGGGTGACTGGTTCACGGCCTCTCTTCTCAGCAGTACTACGCCCTCTGCTCTATGTTCCTCTGGCAGGCATTGCCTGAAATGACTTTGAGTATAAATGCTGTTTATTTTCCACCCCCCCATATCAGACAAACATAAAGAGCCCCAGTTGGGATCTGAGTTGGACTTCCTCCTTTCACGTCCTGCGTGTCGACGCGTCCCTCTCTCGACATGCGGCCTTCTCCCCTAGTGCCGAAATCTGTGAGGGGAGATGAGATGCTCTCTTGCAATGTTGTAACAAAGGAGGTCGCTTCATTATCGGTGACGTCACGGCAGCCCGCCGGCACCTGTACTCTCCAGGATGACGGAGAACGAGCAGCGCCGTCGTGGTCTTAGTAAACTGAAAAAGAAGCCAGGTGTCCGCGCATCATGTTTGGATGCATCACGCCTCAATCATCTCAACACCCAGAAGAGAGAGCGCGTCTGGAGGAAGGCCATCTGCATGGTCACATGCAGTCACCAACAAGAAATGCGCCCCATAACTTACATGGCAGTCACTTTAAAGAGCATAACACACACATAAATAAATGCGATTCACCAAAACAGGCACCCGTGACTGGAGTGGCCCCTACATAGTTTATTACCTTTGAGTTATTGATTTTGTGGCGGAGGTTTCTCGCTTTCTTGCATCACATTTCCCCATTTCTCATTTATTACTAATAGAAGTGTCAAGCTGTTCTGATCTGGCATTGGCCCAGCCAACTGTGTTGGAATCATTATGGCCTGTGACATGTAAACAAAATAGAAGTTACAAATGACATATGCAGCCCAGGACCTTGCTGCAGTAGGTATTTGGGCTGTAGTATATTCTCTACATCATAGCACCCTTTTTCTTACTAGTCAAGGCTCCGGGGCTGCAGGCCAGTGGTCCCATCAAGAGCCCAGAGGTCTTTACTATGTTTTTTAATGATTATGTGTCATTTCGAGGCTTGATAGTTCTCGCGCTTGCCTGAATGGGCGGGGGCTGAAGAAGCAGGGAACACAGTGTCTTCATTAACACGTTCAAGAGTCATCAGCGTGATAGATGGATCTGGAGAGGCCTGCGGGGCCCCTCCCACCGTGGTGAGAGTGAGTCACGCGAGGACTGTCCTGTCACCAAGACAGCAAGAAGCCTGAAGCATTCTGTGGGCCTGCCTTAAAGGGATGTGTGGCAGCCTTAAAGGGATGGGTTTGTCGGGCCTATTGGCCAATGGTAACAGAAGGACCATCGCCAGATCACCACCGTGTTTTCATCGTCCTCCTCCAATCTTCATCTTCATCCTTCCTCCCTCCCTCCCTTCACTTGCTTTTTGGTCTCTGGTGGGTCTGTGGATATATCTGGCCAGTCTGTCATAATCAGGACTCATGTGGCCCACACACTGCCTGCTTAAGCTTTGCGGTTGGTCGCTTCTATTAATTGGTCCAGTTTGATCTGAGTTGGGTTTAAAAGCTCTGGAAACTAAAGGAGAAGAACCGTTTAGAGGTTTTTAACGAAACATCTGCGTAACATCTGGGACTTTGCATCCTGAGCCCACATCAGATGGAGGCCTTGTCCTCTTCGTGTAAGATAATAAAACTGACAAATTTCTTCGCCGACTCGTGAATTGACTCCAGAAGTTATTCAGCCCTTATTGTCATTGCTAATCTCGCAATATCTAAATGCACGGCAGCGGTGAACTTTTGACTGGTGCCAGAAGATTTCACCTGTCGGCTGGCTTGAGCAGTAAGAAGGACAGCAGGGCCCATAACTGTTCATTATCACTCTATCATGCAGCTCCTTCTCACTACTAAGGTCTCACTACCTTTTGTAGAGCTCCTGTTCTATCAGTCCCCCGAGGAATCTCCAGTGAAAGGTCAAGACTCTGGGTTCTGAAGCAGCCACACCCCTCAAACTGTCTGAAATGCAGAATTCTGGGAGTTGGAGACTGGAGGCTGCAGCCCAAAGGGCGAGAGAGACGTACGACAAATTGTCAACAGCATGTTTTTATTGATATGAGGGAGAAGCTTCTTGAACAACGGCCCTTGTTCTGGAGGCGTGGAGAACAGATGCGGGCCTTGTGCACGTCTGCCACGAGGCAGTACGCTCCCCGACCGCTCCCCATCTGTGCATTGTTCCCCGCGTTGTTCTACTTTTTGTCTGTCTGTAGAAACCGCTGTCACCACAGTTTTGGGGCGTAGGGAGCACGGACACAAAAGCATAACTGTAGAGCTGCCCCAGCAAGGGAGCCAGACTAAAGCAGGTCATCTCCAAACGATCGCCAATTATATGCCAGCGCTCTGTGGCTATAGATGCAGTGTGGGCAGACAGATGTGCTCCTTAGTCTGACATTTTTTGCTTGTGTTTTTGTCAGCCAGCACTTTCCCATGCACTCTCATCTCAGTACGACCCAAGGAAGCGAGATTTAAAAGCCTCTTGCATAATTTATAAATGAATGACACTGATTGCAGTGGCCCCTTCTCCGCACGCTCGCCCTTTCCCCGCCCTTCCACGCCGCTCCCGCTGAGCCGTTCAGGGGTTTACGAGATACGGTGGCCAAAGCGTTCGGCCTGGTCAGCATGCTGCTCCTGAGGCATCACTGCTAAGCACTGCTTCCCCTGATTTTTTCGAGCATCACTCATAAGTCTTGCACTCTTTAAGGCTAATTGGCCATTTGGTTTATTATGGATCCTGTGTAGGGTCCTAAAGTGACTTTTGTTTTCATGGAGGATGTGGGCAGCTGGGTTGGTCCTCTTTGGCCTGTCCTCAGCTATGGCAGGTTGGTCTCTCCACCTCCCGGCGGCTTTGGGGCGTGGATAAGGCAGTGTCACCTGCACCGGGACCTTAACGGCACACTGCAGCGGCAGAATTACCGGGCTTCTGTCACTCTGGATCATCAGCTACAATCGTTTTTAGTTTCCTCACAGCATGCACCTCAGTATCCTGTGCTGCCGGGAATAATCTCCATGCCCCCTCATGACCCTGACCAGGAGAAGCAGGTGGAGAGTTTGGTGTATTATCCCAAATTCTGAGAGACATTTATATCGTCTTATTTTTTTATTGCCCACCACCACCCCCCCTCTTCGGAGGACAACTTTATCTTACATTAAATTCAAGAGGAGTGTGGCCGCTCCGAACTCACCCGTCCTATTTTTTCTAAAGCTTAGCTTTATACCCAACAGCCTGAGAACCCCCCCCCCCCCCGGAGAGGCCTGCTGACACAGACACTTCTAATTGCCGCTTGTTTGTCCGGTGAGGGACACCAGGAGAGGCAGCTGTATAATTAAACCCGCAGTTCTTTTTTTCCCCCGTGGCCCCTCGTTTTCACTGCTTTCGGTAAAAGTCTGTCAGCCAGCCTCCTTCTTATGCTCCAGTTTCACACCCCCCCTCTGCTGTCCTCCAGGGGGTTTGCTTACGTTGCCTTTGAAGACCAGGTAAGAGTGAAGTCTTCCACTGTTTTGGGATGATAGTGAGTAACCTGGTGATCTGAGACTGGAAATAATCATCTGCCCAGGATAAAGGACGGCGTGTTTGACGTCCACGCAAGTCAAAGGCCGCTGGTCCGGGTCACAGTAGGGGGTCTGTTTTTGTGCCTATGACAGAGGTACTTAGCCTGAATCCCTCCAGCCCTATTAATGAGTACTGAGATTTGCTTTAGATAATAATAATAATTAATAATAATAATAATACTACAGTGATCCCCTCCCTATCGTGGAAGTTGCGTTCCAAACCCATCAGCGAAGGTGAAAACACACACACATCTCTCTCTCTGTATACGTAATGGAATATATAAAAATAAAAATATATATATTCTTTTCATCCTTCTTGATGTATCGTACCGTCGATTCATTCATGGCGAGCGACGTCCGCGTAACGATTTCCTTCCCGAAGCATATCAGGAGTATTACCTTCTCCTGAATGGTCAAGGTCTTCCTCTGGCACTTAGGCTCACTACTATCAGAAGGCTGAGAAGATGCAGGACGCTTGGGAGCCATCGTAGGGCTTAAAACAAAACGAAAACAATCAGATCACAAGCAAGGTACACGATACGCAGAGAACTGTGACGCGCCGGGGAGAAGTATGCGCTATAACGAGGGCGCGATAGCTGAACCGCGATATAGCGGGGGATCACTGTAATAATAATGATAAATAATAATGATAATAACAAGAAGAAAAAGAACAAGAAGAAGAATAATGGAAATGGCTGCCTGGTCAGCAGGCTGAAAAACAGCGGCCTATCAAAGCCCAGGAGGATGCCTGGAGGATGCGTGATAGAGGGCGGTGCTCATGGCCGGCCAGTGACCTTAAGCCAATTAAAGAGCCTGTGAAGTACAGAGAAGCCAGACCCACCAATCACATTAACTCACTGACAGCCAATGAAGACCAACTGTGGCATCCAGTCGCTAATTTCCCTCAGGACGGTGCAGATCTCTCAGCACAATCCCTCAGTCGTTTGCCGTTCAGTAAAAAGCTAGCCTGTGCCACCACTGCAATTATGGGAAATGCATCAGTGACAGGAAGCATAAAACAGTAGCTGTTTGATCCAGACTTTATTTATCAATGTCCTGGTGATTTTTCTAGAGGGACTCATTCTGTACTGTCTTATTGCTTATAAGCTTTATGAACCACATGAAAAACATCATGCTGGGAGTCAGGGCCCTCTAAGATACCATCTCGTATAGATGGATTTGCTTTGCCATCGTGGAGCATGTGAAATTAATTTGAGCAG